TATTTACACAAATATTTTCACTGCACGTAAAGCTTGTTTTGGAGTATGTAGATGCTCTACAATATAAGCAAGTAAATTTGCCAAGTTATTTAGTCCTATCCCAACCATATCTTTCTTTTTCAACAACACACAATTACAGATTACCCGCACTGTAAGTACTATGTAAACACAAACTGTAAATGTATTTGTATATAGTATATGTAAATGTCTGGCTTTACTATGAATGCGGACCAGGTCCATGGAGTTCACAAAGTACGTCTATGGTTTCACTGACAATTCTCGTTTCTCTGCATATTATATGCCTCTGCAACCTCGGGAACACCGACACTTTCGCACAATATCCACTTCCTTCATGTACTTTGTTCCGTCGTTGCAGATCATGGCCACACGCTTCTGCCGATATCGCCTGGGCTCGCAGCAGTCAGTGCCGCACGAGCCCTTGCATGTAAACTGCCTGATCGGGCGGCGTGAACGGCACCCGTAGTCATACACGTAGGCCTTTTCTGCTTCCTTGCTGCATGAAGGGGCTGCGGAGACAAAAAGGAAAAGGAGAAAATTACACTTGTCCGGTGCAAGTGACACAACTTTAATTGCTATAACTATGATCACGATAACATGAGTGCCAGATCATACTGCTGTGACATGTAATTCCTTAAATGATCATATCATTATGTATGCAGTTAATATTCCATGCGAAACGTTTGACCGCAAAGAAAGCCAACCTTGGTTACAGAGCTTGCCACTCCAGCCCTTCTTACACCTGCACCGATATCCACCCTTGCGGCGCGGCCGGCACTGGCCGTTCACGCACTCGTTAGCGGCGCACGCGTCTTTGTCTGCAGGGTAAGGCAGGTTATCTTGCGGATCCGTCTCATTTCTATAAACTATTTGATTTTCGCAAGACTTTGGTGAACATATACAACTAAACTTTATAGGAGTATCAATTTCAGTTTATAATAATAAAGAAGAAAAAAACTGCATAAGTATATGATATGACATTTAGTGATTCAAAGGATTATAAGAAAAAATACACTAGATGTGTCCAGAATACCCACTTTTGGAACTTTTGCGCCTGTTAGTTTTGGGAACGGTTGCTACTTTCTGATTTATCCTGTCAACCTCTTGGTCGCGTTGCTCTGCATCACCGCACCCGGGTACCACTTTGTTCTGCTTCTCGCTTTCCGCAAAGTCCTGCACTCGACCATTCACTACAACTCTGCTCATGCAACCTTCAAGACCGAAAGAGTAAACTATTAAATATCATAAATAATCCCATATATACTTTTCAAATGCCATGGCATGAAAATGTCTTTCAGTCAGTTTAATTTCTAATATACAAATGCCCTTCAAAAGCACACCTTGAAAACTGGTGGAGTTCCTCAGATGCCACTGCGCCTGCGCGTGTCTGGCGACGTCGGGGGGGACACCACCCAGGAACAGAGGCGTGTCTACCTCGAGGTACTCCAAGTCCCCGGCGTTCACCATGGATCGTGCCACGCCTCCGTCGACGCGCAGGGTGAAGTTCTGGCGCTCGGACAGCAGCTCGACTGTGTGCTCGGACTCATCACTTACTAGCTCGTAACTGAAAATAAAAGCATAAGTTTAAACTAATTAAATGGTTCACCCATAAGAAAACAACGATATCTCCAGAGGACCGTACAAAAGACTGGTGCATTTCTGGTCTCGGACCCACCTGAACATTGTAGAGGCTGGGTGGTTGCCAACATCATAGCTGATCCTTAGCCGCCCTTTGAACACCTCGACAGCGAGATGCTTCCGCTCCTTTCCGTGATACATCAAGACGCCGTTGGGCGACCGCGTCGTGAAGCTGATGGTCACGTTGATGGATGGCCGGAAGGGAGGCGTAATGAGCTGGATAAAGCTGCTTGAATCTATATAGTTGACTGCAGTCATGTGCTGGCAGTACTTTCCTGATAAGTAAATAGAAACAATGCATGCAATACAGATATTTGGACCATATAAACCTTCAGTCTCGCTCAGATGATTCGATATCTTATAACATTTCAATAGGGGCTTACCTGAATACCCAGGTGAACATTTGCAAACATACTCCATCTTCCCCCTCGGCACGACGCAGACGCCGTGGCGACAGTCATGCTGCAGACACGGTTCCGTCTGCAGCAGCACGGAGGGGCCGAGCTCGCAGTACCTGCCGCTCCAATCCCCGGCGCACTTGCACTCGTAGTCGCCGACGCCGTCGATGCACTGGCCGCCGTTCTGGATGCAGAGCGAAAGTGTGGATATGAAGGCAGATGAAGATGATGGTGATGGTGATGGTGATGGTGATGGTGGTGGTGGTGATGATGATGATGATGATGATGATGATGATGATGATGATGATGATGATGATGATGATGATCATCATCATCATCATCATCATCATCATCACCATCATCATCATTTTCATGAAGTTGATGATGTAGTAACTATAATGATGACAATAATAACAATGATGATGACGATAATAGAAAGAATATGAAAACGACGATAATCGCAATCGTAATCATATAATAGTGATGGTAAGGATTTAATGGAAAACTTATCGTAGTGTTAATATATCAATATCAGTATTAGTGCAAGAGCTAAATTGCAATTTCCTCAAGCACTTGGATATCGGTGACTTAAAGGTGACCAAGCTGAGTGCAGGCAACCAGTCACATCATCATTTATTTGAATCGAACTGCAACATTTAAACAGATATTCAGAAAGAAAACAGATATTAATAAAATAGTCGCAAATAATTAGTTGTGACTGTGTGTGTGTAAGAGAGAGTGAGTGAGTGAGTGAGTGAGTGAGTGTGTGAGAGGAGAGAGAGAGGAGAGAGAGAGGAGAGAGAGGGGGGGGAGAGAGAGAGAGAGAGAGAGAGAGAGAGAGAGAGAGAGAGAGAGAGAGAGAGAGAGAGAGAGAGAGAGAGAGAGAGAGAGAGAGAGAGGAGAGAGAGAGAGGAGAGAGAGAGAGAGGAGAGAGAGAGAGGAGAGAGAGAGAGAGGAGAGAGAGAGAGAGAGGAGAGAGAGAGAGAGAGGAGAGAGAGAGAGAGAGGAGAGAGAGAGGAGAGAGAGAGAGAGAGGAGAGAGAGAGAGAGAGAGAGAGAGAGAGAGAGAGAGAGAGAGAGAGAGAGAGAGAGAGAGAGAGAGAGAGAGAGAGAGAGAGAGAGAGAGAGAGAGGAGAGAGAGAGAGAGAGGAGAGAGAGAGAGGAGAGAGAGAGAGAGGAGAGAGAGAGAGAGAGAGAGAGAGAGAGAGAGAGAGAGAGAGAGAGAGAGAGAGAGAGAGAGAGAGAGAGAGAGAGAGAGAGAGAGAGAGAGAGAGAGAGAGAGAGAGAGAGGAGAGGAGAGGAGAGGAGAGGAGAGAGAGAGAGAGAGAGAGAGAGAGAGAGAGAGAGAGAGAGAGAGAGAGAGAGAGAGATGCTTATATGTAAAATACAAATGTAACAAAGTATCCTTATATAACGCATAATAGCTTTAATAAATGTCAGAAGGGAGGGAGGGAGGGAGAGAGAGAGATAGGAAAGAGAGAGAGAAGGAGAGAGAGAGGAGAGAGAGGAGAGGAGAGGAGGGGAGAGGAGAGAGAGAGAGAGAGAGAGAGAGAGAGAGAGAGAGAGAGAGAGAGAGAGAGAGAGAGAGAGAGAGAGTGAGAGAGAGAGAGAGAGAGAGAGAGAGAGAGAGAAAATGTTTATATGTAAAATACAAATGTAACGAAGTATCCTTTAATAAATGTCATAATAGCTTTAATAAATGTCAGAACATGTATGCATATACATGTTGTACGTAAACCCACAAGCACATCATGTAATCAGTTAGCAATAAACATCAGATATTGTCATCATTCTAAAATATACAAACCTGACACATGTGATTGGCACAATCGTCCAGGTTTTCCGTACAGTTGTTCCCGGACCAGCCAAGGGCGCATTGGCACTCATACCCCGTGCCATGGTCGACACAGGTGGCGCTATTCTTGCAAGGGTTGAATTCCTTTGAGCAGAAAGAAATCTTTCTTTCGCAGTATTCGCCCATGAAGCCTGGCGGGCAAGTGCACGAGTAGGAGTTGATGCCATCGACGCAGGTGGCGTTGTTGGCGCACTTGTTGCCCTCGCAGTCATCGATGTTCACTTCGCACCGCCCTCCTTCAAACCCAGTGGGGCAGTGACACCTGCGGAAGATGCAATTTGGACGGAAGGCATTTTTGATTCGGGGACGTAGATCATATATGTTTGTGACTGTAAATAAAGAACTTCTGATAAACTTACGCATATCTTCCGGTCTCAAAAACTTTGCAAGTACCGCCATTGTCACAGGGGTTCCCGTAGCATGCATCTATCTTGTACTGGCACTCCGGGCCGTGGAAGCCAGCGGCGCAACGACATTCATACTGCTGACCAGGGCCTGACCTACATGTCCCTCCGTTCTGGCACGGTCGAGTGTAACACAAGTCACACTTAGCGAGTATATCATCTGGTACTTTTTCTGTGAAAAGTGAACAAAATGGTATATCCAAATGCTAAGTCCTGAAAGTTTATAGATAAACTTAATCACTATCATTCAGTGGGTTTGGACAGGGGAATACATTCCATACTGTTTTCTACAATTTGCACGCAGTTCTCGTCACGTTACATGGTATATGTCAAGTGATTGTGCAGAGCATTGATGTTCGGTTCGCTGTCGTCACATTGATCAAAGCTTCAGCTTGCAAGAAATGGCAGGAAAGGTAAGAATCGACGATTTTTTTCTCTTTATTTTTACAAGTGACCATTGGAATTTTGGGCAGATTTCCTAACGTAAACCATGGTGATCAACCTGATCATTAATGATATAGAAACTATACATGTTCGCTCTTGTTATATCACTATGGTGTGCATTCTCCTGTTTTGTATTCTTTTGAATAGTCATATGAGGGATCTTCGACTGTTTTTGTAGATTGTAGATGTAAGGTAACTCCCGGGTCATCATTTCCACGCGTTCATTCACACCGATCGCAAAAAC